GCATGGAGAGAAGTCATACACAGCTTTCCAGTCGCAGAGTTCTCTGAGTGACTGATAAAGGGGCAGTCCCTTTATACCAAAGTGATACAATACACATCTATAAAACTCATACCGTTGTCTCACATCTAACAACTCGCATACCTGCTCCAGCTGGCTTTGATGTCTGCATCTCCCTGCGACCAGACAGCCAATTCACATTTTAACAAAGACAAGTTGGCTTGTTTTGCACTCACACCTAGACCCACTTAACATATTACAAGTTCTGCTTTATGTCCTGCAGAGACCGGGGGCCCACATCCTGAGATGACCACCTGGCCAGTTTAACATACAAATTAGCATCACACACACACACACAGACACCCGGTGTAGATCACATTCCAGCAAGGAGGCGCGCGCTCCGACCCACCTGCGATCAGACATCCACAATGGTGTTCACGGGAAGCATGGGGAGGTAGGAATGGGTATGATGGTTCCCAGGTTATATGGTATTCAGCTTATCCACCACATGCCCCTATTTATAGAATTTTGTGTGACTGCAGTAATTAATTCATTCATTTTAGGGCATAAGTTTGTCTTTCTGGCCAATCCAACAATGCCACTGAAAATTGGGAGTTTCTATGTGTTAGTTTCAACCTATTTATTTAAGTGTCCCTTGCTGGAAGGGGGCTGCAGAGACCTCTCCATAGCTTAACTGTTCCTCCAAGTATACAATCAAGGAGCTTTGCCCATACTGCTAATGAGTAAAGACTATTATAATAATCATAAACAAGCAGCATGCACAGACAGAATGCCAGGGTAACATCAGCAGTGTTTACTGTACAACAATATAAAAGTTGCAGTTACAAACTTTCTAAGTCACTTGAATTTTGTTTTTCTTCAAAGCCAACCTGAATGTTCATCTGAGGAAGCACACAGGAGAGAAGTTCACCTGTCAGCATTGTCCTTTCAACTGCCTCAGCCCAGGACACCTCAAGGTGTTGTTACTTGTTTACTGTTATTAGTAGTAGCAGTATTACTGCAGTGCTGTTATATAGTGATGGCCAAACAAGGCTTTCCTGAAGCAATGAGGCTTTGCAGTCCATTATATCACCAAAAGGTTCATCATTTGACTGAGGTCACTAGTGACACCTTAAAAGTAATGAAGTGCAGCCATCATCAATTGTGCTGTTGAGAGTGCAAATACAGTACTGACATGTTTTTGTAACTGAAAGAGGAAAGGGAAACTTTTGATTTTTATTTAGAAACAGAAGTTACTATTACATACATTATACCTTACATATCTTACAAGGAGATATTCATTTGGTTTATTAATTGTGGTTTTGTACTCTCACTGTCAAGAGTTCAATCAATCAAACACAATTCAAATACTAAACAATAAATAAAATTAAAACAACAATATAAAACATACTGCCAAGTCTCAGCACGCTCTGCAAAGCAACCAACCAAGTACATCTGCTAATGTTTTAGGTTTCTTGCTCCTTAAACCGTTTAAAAGCCATGATTCTCAAACTGAAACAGTCGTGTGACTCTGCAAGAAACTGAGGCCTCATTTGTCCTTGATCGCCTGACAGTCATGAAAGCGACACAAGCTTTGGTGTCACACATAACATTACTACTGTTATATCCTTAATTAATAATAACCGTCTATTCTCCTAACACATTCAAACTGCAATGCAGCAGTCTACTGACTTTCAGGGTAAATTATTATTATCACTGTCAATGGACTTAGTCTTATGCATGTGATTTTGTGTGTTGGTTGTAACTGTATTTTTGTCTTCTATGCTTTGATTCTGGTTTCAACATCCAGATTGGTTTTCTGGCTCTGTGTTTCTGGTAATGCAGGTCCACATAGAGCGAGTTCATTTGAAGGTGAAGCAGCACTGCAGCTTCTGTGAGCGAAAGTACTCCGATGTGAAAAACTTGTTGAAACACATGGAGAAGAGACACAACCTGACAGATCCCGCTGTCTGTCAGAGCTACCAGCAGCTGAGGTTTGATCGACAGAATCTTTTTCTGTGTTGTCTCACTCTTTAACCCACCAACATATCTGTCCTTCTAAACTATTCAGTTTGTCTATCTTATCTAGATTAAAGACTCGTCAGGGCCTCAGGCAGCTCCTCTACCACTGTCCCACCTGTAAGCGACGCTTCAAGAACCAGCTTGAGCGGGAGCGCCACCTGCTGGGCCACGGGCCCCAGCGTCCCTTTGTCTGCCTTCTCTGTGACCACGCTGCAACCAAGATGGCTGCCCTCACGGCTCACGTCAGGAAACATCTCTTCCTATATGTGTGCTGCACGTGTGACGGGAAGTTTGTCAGCTCTCAGAAACTGAAGAGTCACCTGAAAGAGGGTCACCCTGAGCTGGACCAGGAGCAGGCCTTCACTAATTGCA